ATACATGCCCCTCCAATGAAATGCCTATCATTAGACTCCTCTTGGTAAGAGCAATCTTTTGATAGCTCATACACAGCTGTACATAGCATATTTCTCTTTTAAGAATTTAAACTATGAGTGTTATTGAATAATGACCTAGAATTGAGACATTTTCACTAATATCTCCAGTTCTATACATTCCCCTAGAATGAAAGTGCTATCATTAGATTCCTCTTGGTGAGATGGCTGTACATAGCATATTTCTCTTTTAAAAATTTAAAATATGAGTGTTTTTTAATTATCTCAAAATCACCTATGTTGGAGACATTTGCACTAATATCTCCAGTTGTATACATGCCCCTGCAATGAAATGCCTGTCATTAGATTCCTCTTGGTGAGATGAATCTTTTGATAGTGCATATATTGTACATAGCATATTTCTCTTTTAAAAATTTAAAATAAATCCACTGAAGGACCATCTGTATTATAGAAACTTAAGATTTAAACCATTTTCGACCAAAGTTAGGTGGGGTAATGAGGGCGTGGTCCTGAACATGTGAACACGCCCACTTCCGGTTTCGAGTTATACACACTTAGATATCTAAAAAATCGCATATTTTTATAGTTAAAACCGTTTTCAGAAAAATTTCATATAATATAAAATGTTGCAAATCTCATCAGAAAATACATATCAAAATTTCTCGGAAATCTATTTAATTGCGAATATTTTACATAACTTCAATCTCAGGTACCCCAATATCAATAATAACATGAATAGATTATTTACAATTATTTACAACTATTTACTACTATTTAAAATTATTTACAATTATTTACAATATTTACAATTATTTACAATTATTTACAATTATTTACAATTATTTACAAACTAATTAGAATGACAGTCTCAAGTCTGGTATGTTTAAATAAAATTTGAACCAATATACATGTTTAAATTATTTACAATATTTAATGATGTTGCAGAGATATATATTCTACTTGGTTTTTTTCCTCTTATTGAGTGTTTTTCTTAGTCCTTTAAATTTGTCCCTGAGGGACTGGCGTGTGTGCTCGGCTAAGAGTAGGCTATTCGCGACATGTTCATCCTGACTCAGACACAGGAATATTTCGTTGATGCGAGCACTATGTGGCAAACTTTTTGTTGCTCTGTATATAAGTATATTCTCCTCTCTCGTGTATTTCTTGCACGCCATCTTGGACACGATGCTCTTACCAGGGCTTATTGTCTCCTTCGGCAAAGCTTGCGCAGGTGTCAGTGCTTCATGCTCTCCCGTTTCACCCTGCTTAGCGGCCTGTAAGTAAAGGGTTTTATATTTTATATTCAGATCTGTTATATTTATAAGGAAAAAATTTGATTTTATTCTTACCTCATCTGGAAATAACTCTCGGGAGAATTCTTTCGATGTGCCGGCAATTTCGATCTGCTACATCAAATGAGAAAAGTGAAAATTGTGAGACAGGGTAGCAATAAATTAACATGAAATATCAAAAGATTTTACCTTTGACAATGTCCCTCCTAGTGACTGTGTATGCTTCCTTTTCTGTCAAATGGGAAAGAATTAAAATTGTCAGACAGGATAGCAATAAATTAAAATGGTATATCAAAATATCTCACCTTCGTAGATGATCCTGGGGACCGATGCTTCCTCTTCTGTCAAATGAGAAAGAGTGAAAATTGTGAGACATTATACTCAAACATGCAATATCAGAATTTGTTACCTTTGGAAATGACTTATCGCTTTTTGAGCTTTCACCATGCTTCCTTTTCTGTTAATGTAGAAAAATTATGGGTGTAGACGGCAGAAAGGAGTAAGCAGTTAATCCGAATTATCAGTGTACTTTACTATTGTTGTCTCGACCTCTTTTGAGGGCCCTGGTGCATTACAAGATTTCTTGCTCTAAATAAGAAAAATTGATATTTAAGAAGGAGCAAATGTTTGACCTATCCATTTCACCTATTCATCCCCATTGGAAACCAAGAACTTACCGTTTCACCCCCTGTTGTTATATGATGAAGGAACTCCGCCATCTCGGCATCTGTTTTATCTGTGTTGCGCACATCATAGTATTTGTTGGCAGTTTTCACTGAACGTGTCATCTGGGAAGCCATTTCCTGCTTGCTGAGTGCTTCCAGTTTTCCTGTGCGTAGATATGATTGATTTTCTGAGCCGAGATTGAATCAATGTGCCTTTGAGGTTCTCCTGCATGTTTTTTCCCAGTCGAACGATTGATTGGCTGATCTTGCTTTCATTCATCGCCCGTCCGCTCAGCGTGATGAAAATTGCCTCCTGCAGTTTTAATCCAGGCTTTCCTGGGATGACGGACAGGTCATTTGCGTAGATCGGCCGTAGACGGTTGATATAAATGTCCGCCATTTCCTTAATGTCTTCCCGCCAAAACAATTTGGCAGGCCCGATTGATGCCGTTTTATGTTGCGTCGTTTTTGTGCGATACACCACATCCTTGTCATCCCCGCTAATTTTCTCCGCTTTCTTGTAGTCGTCCAGGGACAGATTGGAGATTGCCCTGTACCTCTGGCCACTCCCCATCACCACACGAAGCATCATGTAGTCTCGCATTCTAGTAAAGTCTCTCGCCGAAATTGCTTCTGGATCCTCTCGCGCTACGTTGAACAACTTCTTGATCTCCTTCGCCACATTCCCGTCGGCTAACGCTTGGAAATCATCCGGAGAAAGAAGCTCCTCTTGACCTTTCTCCCTCACTTGATCTCTCTGCTTCGCTGTTGCGACATTATAGTTGGAAGGCCAGGCTTCCAGTCTTCCTAATGCTGATCTTACCAGCTCAACGTCGCGGTCACCGAATGGAATGAAACGTCTCACAGTCTCTGCTCTGGCCAACAGAAACTGAAAAAACATTTTGATAGAAATTATGTACGCTTTGAGCGTTTGGGGCATTCTGGGCTTCGGAAGCAAATCGTTTCCAAGGAAAAAGTTATTTCCACTATTTATTTCAAAAAGTTATTTCCAGTTATTTCTACTGTGTTCACACAATTTGTCGACGTTAGAGAAACAAAAAATTGTAAGGAAACATAAGTCCTCAGAACATAAGAGAATACAATTAGAAAAACATAGAACTGATTATGCTGACTTGGAGCCTGCAGAAAAAAAACTATATTTGGAGAAATTGCAGAGAACATCAATTAAAAAGTATAAGTCCATGGATCCTTTAAAAAAGGAAACACTTCTTGATACCAAAACTAAAACATATAAATCAATGGATCCTTTAAAAAAGCAAGCTCTTCTAGGTTGCGGTCACACTAGCGCTTCTGCTTGCGGATTAGCAAAGGATTAGCGTGCTTGCTTCTGACGTCATTCCAGCAAGTGCTAGAATGTTAAGCAAGCACGTCGCGGTCACACTGAAAAAGTACTTATGCTTGCTTAAGATTGTAATGACAGATAAATTATCTTTGGTATTCTTGCCAAGTTCAAATTACGCGCCATTTTAGATGGGATATTCTGTAATTGATAAATTGAAATCTAAAGATGGAGAGAGATTCTTTGCCCTTGATACTTCACTTTATGTACCAACGGCTTCGCAATGATAGAAAGCGAAGGGCGCTTAATCGCAGACGATGTCGCATGTTTTGCTTCATTTGATGAAGCAAGAGTACAGATAATTCAGACGACCACAACATTGCTTCTCCTCGCAGTCGCCAGAATGGTCAACCCTAGACTTGATCGTGAGTTTTGGGTTATTCCAAGGCCGAGAGTTGGATGGTTTGAAGTGATCCTTCAAGACGAGCGTCAATCCTGATACTGGAAAGAACATTTTCGCATGCAGAAACCGATGTTCTTGCGACTTGTTGAGTTGGTTGAGCCGGAAATTTTAAAAAGAAACACTGCTTTTCGAGATGCTATTTCTCCGGCTAAACGAGTAGCCATTGCCCTTTGGCGCCTCGCTGGAAGTGCAAGCTTTTGGACCATCGCGACCCACTTCCATGTTGGAAAATCATTGTGCGTCACCATTACAAAAGAGTTTTTCAAAGCATTAAACCGTTTCGTGGGCGACTACATTAAATTCCCACGAATCGCAAAGAAACAGCCAGGGCAATTGCACTCTTTCAGCATGAGTGCAAAATTCCACAAGCCCTTGGAGCTATTGATGGTACCCACATCGAAATCATTGCACCCGACAAACCATTCGATTATTTTGACCGCCATCACCGCTACAGTGTAACCATGCAAGCTGTGGTTGGGGAGAATCTGATGTTCTTGGACACTGCTATTGGGTATCCTGGAAGTATGCATGACGCTCGAATATTACAGGCCAGCAATATTTTTGCAAAAGCAGAGAATGGCAATATTCTTAAAGAGCCAGTCATTTCTCTAAATGGGGTTATGATTCGTCCCCTTTTGCTTGGAGACAGAGCATATCCTCTGCTACCATGGCTGTTAAAACCCTACCCCATAAATGTCATCCTCAATCGTTCTCAAAGGCACTTCAACAAAACTCTCTCGTCTGCCCGGTCTACTGTCGAACGCGCGTTTGGAATACTTAAAGCAAGGTGGAGAATTCTTTTAAAACGTATCGAAACAAGTTTTGCAACATTCCAGAGGTTATTCTCACCTGCTGTATTTTGCACAACTTCTGCCAACAAGCAGGGGAAGAATTTGATGATGATGAAGTCCTGCAACGGGTCATTGCCATGGAAAGAGAAGATGTGCAGGCTAACGAGCTGATTCAGAACGGGGGCATAGTTCAAAATCCCGTAGCCAATACAATTCGCCAATCCATCGAACAGTATTTGCGATAAAGTATACCTGCCCTTTTAAAACTTACAACATATTTTGGGTAGTATTCATATAGAGAAAGATATAAACACGGAAACTCAGTTTAAAAAATATATATATTTAAAGTTTTATTTTACTAACTCATAGTTGCATTGTTGATTATAGATTATATAATATATATTAACAAAACGTTTAATTGTTCTCATTTGAATAATTTAAAATAGTTCTATATAATTGTTCTATCTTTTCATCATTTCTGCCATGCGCAAAAAGAATTCTTGATCCCTTCGTCTTGATTCCTCGTCTAGTTTCCTTTCCTCCATCTCCATTTTTAGCAAAAGTTCTTCTGTGCGTGATTGTGCCTTGTCCATCAGTTCAGCCTGTGATTGTTGCATTTCAACAATCTTCTCAGTCAAGTCGACCATGGTCGTTGCTGTGGTGACGCGAGCTTTCTTTTGTTTTCTTGCGGGCTTTTGTGGTTGCTTTTTACGTTTAGCCGTTGTAGAAGACGGGTTTCCAATATCCGAGTCATCTGACTCTTCATCTTCCGAGTCGTTTAACAGCGTGTCTGTTTCAATACGCGAGCGAATCACTCTGTATCACCCCAGGTATGCTGACCACCGCCCTTGTCCTGAGAACATCATCAAAAGTATCGAAGAATGGGCTTGTCTTGGGTGAACTCCCTGTCTGATTGTTATTCGCTTTGGCCTCTTTGTAAGACTGCTTCAGATTGCGAATCTTATTTTTGCACTGTTTCGTGGTTTTTTGGGTACCAGCCTTGTTCACAGCTTCCGCGATGAGACGCCAAGTTTCTGTTGCCCTGCTCCTCTCCAAGTCTTCGATACGTTCTCTCCATTCGTGCACCAACACAGTGGTTTGCTCTTCCCTCCATCTTGTGAGTTTGGCGCCAATTTCCTGTGAACTTGGATTGATGGCAACTGCCGTATCCGAATCATCCGCATTGCTCAATCCATTCGAGCTGCTAGACCGGGCATTCGAACTGCTAGATGGAGGAGTCGATGACGAAGACGTCGATATATTTGGTGGCTGCGCAACACACGGGAAATATCCACCGCCATAAAATGACTGGGAACGGTTCGGTGTATTCATCCAATTGGTGTGTGGGACGAATTCAGGAAGGGCCTCTTGGGGGTAATATGGATACGAAGCACTTTCATAGGGACGCTTTACGTTTGGCGTTTTATCCATTCTAATATTTCTTCTACTATACAAAGAGTCGTGTGTTCACCTGCAACTGCAAATTTGTGTCTGTGTTTTGAAATAGGCGCGTAATTTAAGCAGGAGGTCCTAGCTTTTTGACAAGGAGCATTTCTATTGGTCGCGCTGTATAATCCTCTTGAGATATGCATTCTAGCACAGTTCAGTCACCGTCCCTACCGTGCTTGAAGCCTGCTGCAGTTCTTTTGTAGTTTCAAGCAAAATGTATCAAGTTTCAAGCAAGTTCATATGATGCATTTTTCGCGGTCAGACTATTTCGCGTGCTTAGAGGCTGACGCGTTGACTGATTCAAGTGGATTAATTTCTAGCAAGCACGATTTTAGAGCAAGTGTGACCGCAACCCTAGAATCAAATGCTAAGAAATATAGTTCAATGAACCATTGCCAAAAAATTGATCTTCTAACCAAGAAAGCTGCTAAGTGTGAATCAATGCACTCTGATCAAGAAGCCTGTATAACAAGATTTAAAAGTAAAATTAAAGATGGTTCATTTTTTGTATGTTCAATTTGCCAGAGACCGCTGTATAGAAAGTCAGTTGTTTTATTAGTTAACCTGCACCGTAAAACGAGAACGAACGAATATGCAAGTATGCTAATGTTTTCATTGAAATTACGAAAAGCTGATTGGTTTGCATATTTAAACATGTACGAATGGACGAAAGCGACGAACGAATGAACGACAAAAAGTCGCTTGCTTGTACTAAACATGTTTTCAACCGTATTGTAATGCTTGTATATTTTTTTCTGTCATTGTGCTGATAGAAAAACTACATTTCGGCTAATTCAATCAAGGATGGTGGAATATAGTCTTAACCTAAGGCCGTAAAGAAGATACACAAAGACATGTATTACCATTAGATATATATTTGGGGATATGCAATACACATGCATGCGCACGTAAAAATCTCACATCTTGTAACTGCATGAAAACGCCTGAAGAATTGTAATTTCATCACATTTTTTATTTGAGTTTAATAGGTGATCATAACAGAAAGAAATTTCATGTGATAGAAACTATTTAGCGTTAAGTTTAACTCGAATTTGTGATATTATTGTAATTTCCATAGCATGCCAGTTAAAACGTATATTAAAATCCAAGGAGCATAATAAGTTCCATAGCCACAGTAAACTTAAATGCAAATCAGCAGTAACTGCTATATTACGATAGTTAAATTATTTGCTGCATTGTGCAAGAGACAATCTGTTTGAAATCGCTCGCGGCCGGATTTCTTTAACTTTTTTAAAAATGTATGCAACACAAGTAAGACGCGAGAATGGTCCCATTTGGGACGTCATTGCAAACGATATTGCAAGGCATGATAGATTTGCCGAACTTCCTGATAACGTTCAAAACCTATATGCAAATGTTGGAAATCGGCGTGCGGTGAGACGAAGGCTTCGTGATTTCATTGTAAGAGAGCAAAGAACTGTTTAGTAAAGGCATTTGATTTCTATAGGTACATTCTATACTACAAATAGGGACGAATTTGATCATTTTTTGAACGATGCGTCTAAATTATTCTACGCTATCGCCCGTCATAGTTCAGAACAAGTGTTAACACCTTTCCAATTCACTATAGAAATCCCCTCCCGGGAAGTTTGAACCGAAAAAATCTGGAGAAAGAATCTGTTCAATACGAGCTCTTGGTAAAATAGCTTGAGCGCACGTTGCTATTATAGCAGACAAATCATATAGTTGCATTATACAGGCGACTAATGTAGTCAAATAATTGTCGTCAGTCGCTTCGATCTCGCTTGTCTGCTCTTCCATTGCAGCATTTATCACCGGTATATACATTGAATATATTGCCTGAACGGCGTTGTGCAAATTTAATAGCACTATGTTTAAAACCTCTACGTCGTCTGCCATGCTTTTTCAAACAGCTCATTCGTAATTTGCACAATTGCAAATCCACCTGGAATTGCATATAAATACATGTATATGCAAATGTCTTAAAAACACATGAAGAAATGCTTAAGAATTGTTGTAATAATTGCATTGAGGCTACTTAACACGACCTTGATTAACTATAAAATTCAATTGAGTTTACGAATTGACGACTTCGGTAAAATACTCAGGGTTCTATATATAATATTATTCAACTTAGTTATTCCTCAGTTTGGGATGTTACCATTACAGTTCATCAATCATCGTCATCATGTTGCATGCCCCCTGTTTTAACCGTATATATACACGATATCACAACACAAAATTACATGACCAAAATATGCATGCTATGGCTTAAAGTTCACAAACAAATATGATAATAAACTTGTTTTAGCCAATAGAAACCATCTATTTGAACGATTGTGAACCGTACTCTCGTTCAGTTAATGAGGCTACTCGTTCGTTTTCGTTCTACGGTGCAGGTTAACTATTACAAAAGCACATGTATGATGACAATGGTGTGGCAAATTTGTTCACTGAAATTAAATCATATGATAACAAACTATACATTTGCAAGACATGCCGTTTAAAAATTTCAAGGGGTAAAACACCATGTCAAGCAGTATGTAATGACATGTACGTTGATGAGGTACCAAATGAGTTGCTGTGTTTAGAAAAACTAGAGCAGATTCTCATAGCACAAAGAATAGTTTTTGAAAAAATTGTAGTGATGCCAAAAGGACAGCAGAAAAAAGTTAAGGGAGCCATTTGTAATGTCCCTGTTGAATGTGATCAATCCTGTAAGATTTTACCTCGTGCTCCAGAAAGATCAGGTATTATTATGTTAAAACTGAAAAGAAAACTTGAATTCAGAGGACGTGTATATTTCCAAGCAGTATGTCCTTAATTTCTCCTCAATGCCTTGTATAATGATAGTCCACAATCCATTGTATAATGATATCACTATTGATATTACAAGTATTGGCGCCAATTCCACAAGTTTTCAACAGCTGCAGAATGGTGATGATTTTGCAAATCAAAATTATTTATCCAGTACCACAAAACAACACGTTGATGATGACAACGAAGAACAGGATGACCCGTTAAACGAGCATCGCCAAGCACCTAGTGTGACCTGTTTGCAATCTGTGTTACCAGATGATCCAATTACAATAACACAAAACAGCAGTAATTGCTCATTAGGCAGTGAAGTAAACAACATTGCACCTGGTGAAAACAAGCACCCTGTTTCATTAATGATGGATAAAAATTGTGAAGAGCTTGCATTTCCAGCATTGTTTCCAAAAGGTAGATTTGGCTTTACACATGAACGCAAGATTAAATTGTCACCAGTAAAATATTTTAATGCTAGACTTTTACATTATAGCGGAAGATTTGCAACAAACCCAGAGTATCTTTTTTTTGCACAGTTCATAACAGAACAAAAGAAAGTGTCTGACAGTATTAACATAGCCTTGAAAAAAAATACAGGGACAATCTGTGACTGCATCAGACATAAAATCGAACGTGAATAAATTAAAAAATTTGGTTTGTCAAGACCAAGCATATTTGTTCTTAAGACAAATCCCAGGCACACCACCATATTGGCAAAAATTAATGTACGAAGTAGTAGCAATGGTCAAACAATTGGGTATTCCAACATTGTCATGTGCAGATCTTAGATGGCCTTGAGCTGTTCCAGATTATAGCCAAAACACAAGGTAAAAACATGACCGATGAGCAAGTTGAAGCTTTATCTTACAATGAAAGATGTTCGATGCTAAATCTGAATCCTGTTGTTGTTGCAAAACATTTCCAACACAGAGTGGAAACATTTTTCACTGAAGTTCTACTTCGTGAAAGTAACCCAATTGGTAAAATAATATACTATGCACTTCGCATTGAATTTCAGATGAGAGGCTCTCCACATTTACATGCATTGATATGGACTTCTAACACCCCTAAGCTAACTTCTGATAACAAAGAGGAATATACAAAATTTATTGATAACCATGTACAGGCTAATCTCCCAGACAGAAATGAAGAACCAGAGTTACACGAGTTAGTCAATACTTATCAAAAGCACAACCACTCAAAAACGTGTAGAAAATACAAAAATGTTAGTTGTAGATTTAATTTTGGACAATTTTTTACCAAAAGAACAATTGTGGCAGAACCACTTAGTGACGAGTTAGATGAAGGAGTCAAAACCAACATACTTGAAAGGCGCATCAAAATCCTGAACTCAGTCAAACAAAAAATTGATGAGATTCTTAACCCATCCAAGCCAGAATATGACCCCTCATTAACTGAAACAGACATTTTAGAATCTTTAAATATCACTGAAGATCAATATTACTGGGCATTATCCATTTCCCCTGACTCAGATTTTGAATTACATCTCCAAAGATCTGTGCATAGCTGTTTTATTAATAATTATTTTGTTGCTGGAATTAAAGCATTTGCAGCAATGTTGACTTGCAACCTGTATTTAACCACTATAAATGTATAACATATGTGTGTTCATACTTTACTAAAGATGAGACCAAATGTTCACAAGCAATTGTCAATGCAGCAAAAGAAGCTAAAGCTAGCAACATGACAATTAGAGATAGGTTGAAAAAAGTTGGTGCAGCCTTTTTATCAACAAGGGAAGTGAGCTCACAGGAATGTGTTTACAGAGCAATGCCTGAACTTTGGCTGAGAAAAATATTCCCCAAAACAATTTTTGTTAATACTAATATTCCAGAACAAAGAGTACGAGTAACTAAGAGTCAAGATGAGCTTGATGAACTAGATGATGATAGCACTGATGTATTTAAATCAAATATTATTGAACGTTACATGATTAGACCAACATCCATACCTATTGTTCCAGGGTGCATTCAGCCCATTTTGTGCGCCGTGCCGCCGCCAGCGCCTGATATCGCAGGCAAACACTCCCTATGATATCAGGTACCGTTGTAAAAAAATATTCAGAGAAGTACAGAAGAAAATATAACAATTAGACTTTCTCAATTCACATTTCATTTACTGAACAGACAAATCAACATAATTGAAGTAAGTGAAATGTTCATAGGTGTTCGTAATGGTACTTAGTTGTGTTCTCAGTGTACACTTGGCTTAATGTTTAACTTCAATGACTTTCTACTATGAAAGGTATTAAAACGCAAGTTACTAACTCAATTGTGCAATGTTTTTGATATCGGACATTTGTAAGTTTATTCATTTGCCAGGAAAGGACAACGACCTAATTCGCCATCCAATCGATCGACAACTTTAGACACCAAATACTCATTAGCACGGCTAGATTGCCCATAATAACTTCGGTGACGTCTCAACGTACCGTCAGGACCGTCCCCTGTGAAGTACAATCTGACAGCCTCTTTGATGATGTCGTCACATTTCTTCAATGGGGGCAAACACCA